TTTATTTCATTATCGTTACATCTCTTCCTTTTTGTGTTTTGATTGACACGTTCCAAAAATTATATTTCACAGAAAACGAGCCTAAAACGAGAAACGCATGGACCTGCTGTCTCACGAGTCAGATGATTTTTATCAGGAGATGTCAACTCCTTTCAAATAAAAGTTTTGTCGTGATTCCTTTATCCTGAGTATTTTTTTCCCTCCAGTCTATATGCCAACACCCAGCTGCTAACTTCCCACTGGCCAGGCAGACAAGTGGAACAAAAGGCCCTAAAAAATATGGTGCACAGATAAGATTACTTATAAACCAGCTAATTGTCACACATAAATTGATTAGGTCGCAGTTGATCATTCATCAGAAAACTTCAGAAAGTCTGATCATCAGTTCCTGTTAGGGCAGCACAACCCCCCAGCACATGCACAGGTGTTGAGAGTTGAGACTTGAGTATCCTGCAGTACCACTAAAGTGTGCATGCCTGCTAAGAACAGAAACCTCACTCATTGAGAATCGGTGAGAAATTAAACAACAGCAAGAAAGTAGAGAAAAAAAAATGTTATCTCTTCAGGATAGTGGGGATCAGAATTGACTGCAATGACATCTATGCTTCTGCAAGCCTGCAATCTGCATGGAACAAGTGGTTGGCCAAGAACATGGCATTTGTCCATCTGATTCTCTGAATCGGGACCTAAGAATATAAGCTACTAAAAGCTAAGGTCAACTCAGGAGTGTTCCTGAGTGGAGCTGAGGATTAGACAACCGGAATTCCTAATGCCATGTGATTATGTGAAACATGACACCAAGCAACTAACGGGCATATTTGAGGAGTACTAGCAAGCTGAAAGTTACAATTCATCACACCTACACATCAGCATTATATTCCTTTTTTCTTCAGATAAGAGTGAGAAAATATTCTTTCTTGGGGTTCTTCTTGGAGGACAAAACAAGTCCTGCAAACATGGGCAGAGCTATGTTTAAATTAGTGGGTGCGTCCACGCACCCACAAAAAATTAAAAAAATAGTGTTAAGAGCTAATTTTTCACCGTATATGCACCCACATATTGTAAACTCTTGCACCCACAAAGGTAAGTGCACCCCTTCGGATTTACTCTAACTCCGCCACTGCCTACAAATGCTATCAAAAGTAAAATCAGATGGCAAAGCATTTGTGCTTGCATTGTTTAACTGAGATTGGTAAGTATGAAATGCCTATCTAGGGTATCTGATATTACGTTCAATGAAGAGAATAACCGCATCGTTTATTTGTTCGTCTAGGTCTAGTCGACTAGTCCCACGGCAGTAGTAGCATATACCACGAAGTATGCTTTTAGTTTCTCTTTGGCCGTTCTAAACCCCAAATTCCAACATCTTTCTTCAGTTTATTCATCATTATCAGTTTTCTTTGACAAAAAAAATTCTATGGTATATTTATTTACACGTTATGTTTTGCACTGACAAACATGGAAACATAGGCTAACTTTCATTATGTTGTAAGGACATGGCCAGGAATCAGTGTGTTAATGGAGGCTCCTTTTAAAAGTTCCACATTAGTTCTCACGAAAGATGCTAAGATAAAATATAAATATAGAAATCATCGATATTGGCTATTAGATTTATTCCATTTTTTAAACCCACATATGTCATTATAAAAAGAATACTCTAAAATAGCCTCCTAAATGCACATCAAAATTATCCATTAGTAACATCTTGATCTTCATCTAAATTACCCACACATGCTATTATGAAAAATAATATAAAGGAACCCTCTAAATTTAGACTTCAACACCACCATTGCTAAAAAACAATATAAAGTAAACCACATGTGCTGTTGTAATAAGCATCGTTAGATTGATAATGGAGTACACACTTTCATAATAAATTTAGAGATACACATATTATATTATTTTTTAGAATACTTAGGGTGTGTTTGGTTGAGCTATGGCTGTGGGAAAAAGCTGTTGTGGGCTGTGAGCTGTGGGTATGGATGAAAACGGTACGGATATTTATTCGACCGTCCATTCGACCGAACAAATATGAACACTTATCTGGATAGTTACTCGGATATCCGTAATTTTTTTCGGATACGGATACTAAAACGGATATCTTAGGCAGATATCAAATACGGATATAATATCATCGATATCCGGCGGATATCGGATAATCCGGTTAAGTATCGGATATATCCGGATATTTAAAAACAGATATTATCTGGATATTATTCAAACGACCTTGGATGGAGAAATGATCAAAATAAAAATTGTAGATCTCAAAAAGTTATGAAACTTTGTTGTTTACAATTTTTTCGTTTGAAATCATTTAGTGCTTCAAAATTTAAACCGTCCAAACTTTCTCAAATGGAAAACTAGTTTATAGGCGTCAAAATTTAAAAATCATAAATTTAAACCATCCAAACTATCTCAAATGGAAAGTTGACCAAAACAACAATTGTAGATCTTGATGAGTTGAACAAACTTGGTATTCAAAACTTTTCAATTTGAAGTCATTTAGAGTTCATAATACTAGAGTCAAAGTGTTGTTTTTTCATTTGACCAAATTTGACTTGGTCAAACTTGCTCAAATGAGATACTAAATGACGTCAGATGAAAAAACTCTGAATACCAAGTTTGATCATCTCAGCAAGATCTACAATTGTTACATAGCTCATTTTCCCATTTGAGAAAGTTTTATCAAACACTAGTCACAAATTCTTAAATCTCATACAGACTTTCTAAAACTATGTCACACACTTGTGAAATTTGAACTACATTTTGTTCAAACTTTCTCAAATAAAAAAAATGGCCTATATAAGGATTGTAAATCTTGAATCCATGACCATGACTCCATGAGACCCATGAAGCCATGAGCTTGGCTATTTCTACTCATGCCGCAAAGATTGGTGCTTGTATGATGTTTGATGTATGATGTATCTGTATCTTTATCTTATTTGTTGCTTTACTCTTTAGTCTTTCGGTTTAATCTAGATGGATTATGGACTCATAGAGTGGTGTAATGGTTTGCGCACGTATGATATATATATATATATATATATATATATATATATATATATATATATATATATATATATATATATATATATATATATATATGCTGCTTTTACTCAATATATATATATATGCTGCTTTTACTAAATATCCGAATAGATATTTGTATCCGACCTTCTCCGAATCCGATTCATACCGTATTCGATACTCATTATTCGTATCCGTAACCGAGTCAATCCGTATTCGTATATGTATCCGAACGCTATCCGTGTCCGAATCCGAATCCAAACAGAAATATGAAAACAAATATAATATGAGTGATATCCGTTCGTATCCGATCCGTTTTCATCCCTAGCTGTGGAAAAGCTGCTGTGGGCTGTGAGCTATAGAAAAGCTGAAAGCTGTTTGGTTAAACAAGTATAAAATATACCTTCTATCTTTATCTCTCTTGAAACAACTATGGAAGAGCTTTTTATTCTACCAATTTTAAAAAGTAGAAAGCCAAAAGCCAAAAGCATGATCAAACTAGCTTTCAAAAATGAACTACGGAAAAGCAGCTGCCTCTAAAAAACAGCCTCCAAAAACAGCCCATTTGGTTGGGCTTTTAGCTTTTGGAGCCAAAAGCCTAACCAAACGGACCCTTAGTTAAATTTGAAAATATTTGACTTCTCGAGAAGCGCGATATACACTTATTTTGGGAGGAGGGAGCAGATGGATAGCGGCACCGAAGCGGAACTGGAAGAGAGAACAACATGTTGCTTCTGTCACGTCATCTTAAGTTGACTTCCTAGCATTATTCAATCTTTGTTCTGCCAAACTGCATGCACGGTTGAAAAGGCACAAGATTACAAGAACAGGACGAGAATTAGAGGGGCGAAAAGGAAAAGAAAAACACAAGTTGCATCAGTTCGCTGCTGGAAATAGGACCAGCAAATACATCGGCTACGTACCAGTTACCACAAATTGCCATGCATGTCGCATGATTCCTTCACACCCTCAAATAATACTTGTATCACTGCGACTGAATCAATAGCTGGTTTATACGTACGTGTCGCCCTGTCATGACGCTGACATATATAACTGTGTTTAGTAAGCTCGCTAACTTGTTAAGGTACATCAGAATTCAGTGCGTGGTGTACCATTACCACCAGAGCCATTTCTTAATTAGTCTTTTAGTTTTCCAAAGGGTGCTTTTAATTTTGTGTGGAGCATGAGCATGAGTTTGACGTAGTTAATTGATCTTTGTCATAGCACATGACCTCATATAAATCATACGAAAATTTGAATCCCAATCAAAGTTTCCAAGGATTTTATTAAACTATTTTCTGCAAAATTTATAAATTCAGCCAGCTGAAAAATGCTTATTATAAAATACTAATGTATAGAAGAAGACGAATATGCCTTAATCCTCCATTCAGGAGACAACAAATTAAACCACCTTATCACCAAATAAAAAGGGCATTTCGGTCATTAGAGACCCGCACCCTGCGAATGCCCTTCCTATAAATTCCACCCCTCTTCAAAGCTTCAGAGTTTACCGGTTAACCCACACAAATTGCCGCTACCGTACCAGCCCACCACCGCACACGACATCCTACAACCCCAGCCTCATTCCACTGGCCCGCATCTCAGATCACTGGACGGCACCACCGGCCGGCCAGCTTCTCCGGCCACCGTGCACCGCGCAAAACTTGCACTGACGAAACCTACCTTCTCATCCGGCGGCGGGGCCATGGGGTTCTCGCTGTACCCCACCAAGTCGTCGACGCGCATGACGTGGAGCACCAGCTTCTTCCGCCACAAGTTCCCCGCCGCCGCCGCGGCCTCCTTCTGATCAGGCTAGCTCCGGCCGCCCGGCGACCTCCGTGCCGTGCTTCAAGAAGAGGTGGAGGAGCATACATACAGACGTTCAGTACATACATACACGTACGTGAGTGTGCGCGTACAATCGACAGTTTTTTTTCTTTTTTCTTTTTTTGGTTCGTGTTAGTCCTTGGCGCATGGACTACGCGCGTAGCATGATCAGCAGCTCCGCCGTGCCATTCCGTGCTGCCGGCGATGGCGGAGGACAGGTGTTTCTCTTTGGCGGCGGCGGATTCCTTCGAGGTCAGTGATCGGGATGGATATCTGATCGAAGCGCTACTTATTTCTTGGAATGCGTTGCTCATGTCCTCTCCTCATATGCAGGATTGCCGTTGGTGGGTGGCGCCAGCGCTGATGCCGGTGCGGCGGACGGCCGGAGCAAGCGGCCGTTCCAGCTGACGGCGGCGCACGAGGAGCTGCAGCTGCAGCTCCAGCTGGAGCTGGGCGACGACGAGCTGTGCGGCCTCGACTACGACCTCCACGGGCCGCAGCAGCAGGAGCGCACGAAGCGGCGGCTGACGGCGGAGCAGGTGCGGGACCTGGAGCTGAGCTTCGAGGAGGAGAAGCGGAAGCTGGAGCCCGAGCGGAAGAGCGAGCTGGCGCGAAGGCTCGGGATCGCGCCGCGCCAGGTGGCCGTGTGGTTCCAGAACCGCCGCGCGCGCTGGAGGACCAAGCAGCTGGAGCAGGACTTCGACCGCCTCAGGGCCGCGCACGACGCCCTCCTCGCCGGCCGCGACGACCTCCTCGCCGATAACGATCGCCTCCGCTCACAGGTGAAGATAATCCTACACATCCTATAATTCGTAAAGGTTGGTTAAATATGGTAATCGAATTGGTAGATTTATTTATTTGAAAAGGAAATTGACTAGATGTGTATGCATCTAGCATCTTTAGAGATGCTTTCCTAAAGAGTATGAACTTCGGGCGTTCCTAAACTTGCCACGCCGCAAGCATATTCTCCTACTAGTGATGTAGTACAGCCGTGTAGGCTAGGCCTACCATCTATGTTGGGCCCCCCATCTTTCATATGGGTGAGCCGATCACTCATCAGCGTTGCCGACCACACACTATCATTGCCGAGCACATACTATGGCTAAAGGTAAAACAAGGGAGGGAGAACAGAGCACACACAGCATAAGTACCAGCGGTGGCCAGAGCTCTGCAGAGGAGATGGCAAAACTGAACTCGCTCTCTTTACTGAGTTGCAGCGGCAAACTATATATACAACTCTACCCATCTAATCCTAGTACACAGACATGTCAGACCGCCATGCTACTACAGTGACTAGATGTGACAGTAGGGCTGACTTTGGCGCATGCCCCTGCTGTGGCTACATTGCCACAGCATGGAGCCTTTTCGACGTCGCATTCCCCTGCCGTGCGTTTACACCAGGAAACAGCAGATTACTTAACAATTATTCCCCTAATCCTGCTGCTAACCGTAGAACTCCCTCCATGTCGATCATCTTCTTCAGCTCCGTGAGTCGAAGACGGTAGAGCGGCTTGGAGAGGACATCCGCGAGTTGCCGACTAGTTTCGACGAACTCGATGACGATCTATCCTCCATCGACACAGTCCCTGGGGAAGTGGAACTTGACGTCGATGTGCTTGCTCCGGTAATAAAGAACCGGATTCTTCGCGATGGCAATGACGGGCTGGTTGTCCACCATCAGTGTTGGTGGGTGAACTTCCACACCGGTCAGCTCGTCCAGCAGCCAGCGCAGCCACACAACTTGGCACGCCGCTATGACCGCCGCCATGTACTCTGCCTCACACGTCGACAGCGCCACCACCTTCTGTTTCAGCGACAGACGTAAGATTGGAGCTGACCCGAGAAAAACGAGCAGGCCAGAGGTGCTTCGCCATCCGTCGATGTCCGCCGCTATGTCTGCATCGCTGAACACAGTGAGTTGCAGCCTACTTCCGCCGGTCTTGGGGAAGACGATTCCCTAATTCACCGTCCTCTTGATGTAGCGCAGCAGCCGCTTTACCGCAGCCTAGTGATCCTCTCTAGGATCCTCCATGAAGCGACTGACGTAGCCCACGGTGAACGCAATGTCCAGCCTCATGTGGACTAGGTAGCGCAGATCGTCGACGATGCTTCGGTAGAGTGTTGCATCTACCTTCGCCGCAGTACTGGCCTTCGTCAGTTTCAGGCGCTCCTTCATCGGATTCACGCACGGCTTGCACTCAGCCATGCCGCTCCGCTCCAACAGCTTTGAGGCGTACGCGCTCTGATCGAGCATGAGCGCCTCCTTCCCCTATCTCACCTCGATACCGAGGTAGTAGGAGAGCACGCCGAGATCGCTCATTCAAAAACGAGCCGCCATCTCGCGCTTGAAGCTGTCAATGTCCTCCACACACGCGCCGGTAACGATCAAGTCATCCACATACATGCCGATGACAAGCTCCTCCTTCCCTCGTCGTCGCATGTAGAGCTCGTGCTCAGTTGCGCACCGTGTGAACCCAAGCTCGCCCAGCGTAGAGTCAAGCTTGGCGTTCCACGCTCATGGGGCCTGCCGCAGCTCGTAGAGCGCCTCGCGTAGTGGGAGCACCCCGTGCTCCGCTCCCTTGACGGCGAAACCTAGAGGTTGTCTGATGAAAACCGTCTCCACCAGCTCGCCGTTGAGGAAGGCTGATTTTACGTCCAGGTGATAGACGCGCCATTCCTTTGCTACTGCCAAAGCCAGTAGCAGTCGGACAGACTCCATGCACGCTACCGGCGCAAAGACTTCCTCAAAGTCGATGCCCTCGCGCAGGACAAAGCCTCGGACGACGATGCTCGCCTTGTGTTTGACAATGGCGCCGTGCTTGTCCTGTTTGACCTTGTACACCCACTTCAGGCCAATCGGACGGCATCCTGGAGGTGGATCGACGAGCTCCCAAGTCTTGTTTTTCTCAATCGCCTTCATCTCCTCCAGCATCGCCCGTCGCCAATTTGCATCGCGCTCGGCCAGCGCGAACATGGGTGGTTCCTCTGTACTGACGAGAAGCAGCTCTGGGTCATTGAGTAGCCTACCCACCAGGCCTGAGGGCCCTGTGATACCGATGATGTTGTACAGCTTACGGAACCGCACCTCCTCACCTTCGTGGAAGGCATCCACGAACTCAGTGATGTCGCTTAGAGGTGAGACGAACTCGATCGACGTCAATGGAGTTCCCTGTTCTGCTGAAGTGGTCAGCATAGCACCTGGAGTGCTTGGCACCCCCGCTGCAGTGCTCGGTACTACTCCTGGATCGCTCGTCACCACTCCTGGAGTGGTCGGCACCACTGCAAGAGTGCTTGGCACCAGTCTTGGAGTGATCGGCACCACTGCAAGACCTCTCGGCTCCACTATGGGAGTGTTCGGCACCCATTCTGGAGTGGTCGACACCACTGCAGGACTGCTTGGCTCCACTCCTGAAATGTTCGGCACCCCTCCCGGAGTGCTTGGCACCTCTCCAGGAGTGCTCGGCTCTGTTGCTGGAGTGGTCTACACCTCCTCTCTAGCATCTCCACCACCGTGGATGACCAAGTGCTCGACAACGAAGGTGCTAGTGAAGCCACCAGCTTCCCCCGTGCCTAGACTGTTCTAGTCCTAGGCCGCCTTCTCATCGAACACGACGTCACGCGAGACAACCACCTTGCCTCCATGTGGGTCATAGAGCCGGTACGCCTTGGTACCTTCCGCATAGCCTAGGAACACCATTGGTGTGCTCCTATCCTCTAGCTTGGTGAGGATCGGCTTCATCTTCCTGACGTGGCCGATGCAGTCAAATGTCCGAAGGAAGGACACGCTCAGCTTGCGCCCATACCAAGCTTCGAATGGCGTCTTGCCCTTTAGGGCCTTTGTGGGTGTGTGGTTGAGGATGAACACCGCCGTGGTCACCGCCTCGCCCTAGAACCTTACCGGTATGCCCTTGGCCTTCATCATGGATCAAGCCATGTCGACCATCGTCTGGTTCTATCGCTCCACCATGCCATTCTGTTGTGGCGAGTACGGTGTGGTGTGGTGTTACACCATACCCTGATCCGCACAGTACGCAGCGAATTTCACCGAAGTGAATTCGTCGCCGCGATCAGTCCTCAGCACGCACAGCTTCTTGCCACTCTCCGCCTCAGTGCATGCCTTGAACTTCTTGATCGCCGCCACCGCCTCGTCCTTGCTCATTAGGAGTTACGGCCACATGTAGCGACTGCAATCATCCACGAGAAGGAGGAAGTACCGTCAATAATCGTTTGTGGCTGGCGTGATTGGTCCACAGAGGTCACCGTGGACGAGCTCGAGAGCGTCCGCCGCATGATACTTATCCACCTTTGGGAACGATAGCCTCCTCTACTTCCTGGCCAGGCAGCTGTCACACAGCTCGCCTCCGTGCTTGATGTGAGGCAGCCCTCAGACCATCTTCTCCAGCCAACCAAGCGTGTCGAAGCTGAAATGGCCGAACCGGGTATGCCACAGCCACGGCTCCTCCATGTGCCATGCTGCCAGGCACACCGGCTGCTCCATCTTCAAGTCGAGCAGGTACAGTCAGTTTTGGGACCTCTTCACCTTGGCAAGAAGGCGCTGCTCCCGGTCCCTGATCCTAAGGACGCCGTCTTTGATCAGTACCTCGATCCCGCGCTCATGCAGCTGGCCAATGTTGATGATGCTTGAACGCAGCTATGGGATCTAGTATACATCCGTTAGCGCGCGGTGCTCGCCGTTCTGGCACCTGAAGATGATGGTGTTGCGCCCTCGTATTGCCACCCCTGAGCCATCACCAAACTTCACCGTGCCGGTCATATCGTCGTCGAGCTCGGAAACAGATGCCTTGGAGCCCGTCATGTGATTGCTAGCGCCGGAGTCCAGTACCACTGCTGCTCCTGCTCACCACCCACACGTCCGAGGTGGACATGGGTGCGCGGTTCATCGAGGTAGACATCTTTCAGAGCCTTCCTAGGCCCTTTTACTGCCATCACCTCTTCCTTCTCCTCGGCCTCAACGTCGTGCAGTGCATAGAACGTCGCCATTAGGAGAGTGGCCTCATCATCATCATCAGCCTACACCAGATGAGCCTCAACCTTCTTCTCCTACTTGCGATTTGGGCACTCCTTTGCCCGATGGCCTGTCTTCCTACAGCGCCGGCAGGCTTGGGGTCGACCTTCTTCTTCTTCTCCGGAGAAGCCTTGCCGCGGCACTTGCCATCGCCACCATGGCTGGACGAGGCTACCCCAAAGTTCCTCCAAGCAGCCCACTCGTCCTCTGTCAGCAGCAGCTTGCCATTGTCCTTTGTTGCTATGGCCTGCTCCATGCGCTTGTCCACCGCCCATAGACGGCCTGTCACATCCTCAATGGTGAGGGTGGACAAGTCTAGCATCGTCTCTATGGAGAGAGCGATCTGGATGTACTTCGCCGGCACAGAGTGGAGGTACTTGGAAACCATCTCTTCTTCGTCGATGGTGACGCCGTGGCTTCTCAGTTTGCTGATGAGCATCTGCAGGCGGAGAGAGAAGTCCTCCATCGATTCATCATCATTGAACTTGAGGTTGGCGTATTCCTGCTTCAGCAGCTGGGCCGTCGCCTTCTTTGCGCGGTCGGAACCGACGCGCATCACCGTAATGGCCTCCCACGCCTCCTTAGCAGAGCTCTTCGCCCCTAACGGCTTCCTGTACTCTGTTGTCACAGCAGCAAGGATAGCCTCCAACATTGACATGTCATCTTCTTCGTTGTCGGTGCCCTTGTCAACAGCATTCCAGAGCCGTCAGGCAACTTGACCTTTATGGTCATCGACCACTCGTCATAGTTGGTGCGAGTCAGCATCGGCCAACTGGTGCTGCTGGCCTCCCGCACCGTGCGCACAACGACCTCCTGTCGTGGCTAGATAGCCACAGCAGCGCCATTGCTGTCGTCTATCTCCAAAACGTCAGTCATCACCAGTGGTTAGTCCAGCGACGGTGCTTGTACAACTCTGATACCACTTGTTGGCCCCCTGGATCTCCAGCACGGGTGAGCCAACCACTCACCAACGTTGCCGACCACGCACTATCATTGCTGAGCACACACTATGACTAGAGGTAGAAGAAGAGAGGGAGAATAGAGCACACACACAGCACAAGCACCAGCGTTGGCCAGAGCTTTGCAGAGGAGATGGTAAAACTGAACTCGTTCTCTTTACTGAGTTACAGCGGCAAACTATATATACAACTCTACCCATCTAATCCTAGTACACGGACATGTCAGACCGCCATGCTGCTACAGTGACTAGATATGACAGCATGGCTGACTTTGGCGCCTGCTCCTGCTGTGGCTACAGTGCGGCAGGAGAGCCGTTTGACGCCTGCCACTGCTGTGCTACAGTACACATAGCATGGAGCCTTCTCGGCATTGACTTCCCCTGCCATACGTTTACACCAGGAAGCAACAGATTACTTAACAATCTAGAGGCATCGATTAACAAATTGAACAGAACAGCAGAGACTGCATGCGCGATGATAACAATCCGACCGAGGAATCTGGTCAACCTCTAATCATAATCAAGAAATTGAACCCAACATTGATTAGTAGGGCCACTATGTTCAGCCAGATGTAGACACTGCATTATTTGGCATGTCACTGGCAGTTGTTGTTCATGTATGTTTCGGTGCCTGATCAAGTCAAGAAGAGTATCCTTTTGTGTAATCATACAGTCCATGTAAACCCCTCAAAAAAGTTTCTATTTCATCAGAGTTATATATATATTTATACATATCGCCATTTGTATCATCAGGTGATCACGTTAACTGAGAAACTGCAAGTGAAGGAGTCGTCAGCGTCAGAGCCGGAAGAGCAGACAGTTGCCGTTCAAGAGACGGTCTATACTCTTTTCCAAGAAGACAAGCTCTACTCCGAGATCGCCACCGACAACGCTGCAGCGGCGGCGCCAGGGACCAACGACAGCCCGGAGTCCTACTTCGTCGGGGCGCGGTCGCCTCCGTCGTCGCCAGAGGACGACGACTGTGGCTGCGGCGCCGATGACCGCACCTTCTTCCTCCCAGACGCTCTGCTCGCCACGACCGTGGAGCAGGGCCTTGGGGGTGCTGCTGAAGAGGATGGGGCGCAGCTCAACAACTGGGCATGGTTATGGAACGATCAGCAGTATTAGGGAATGCATGCATGCATGACTAAGACCATAGTATTATAGTGCAAATTTGGTTTCGAGCTCTGCTGATGTTGATGCGGTATGTTCTGCTAATTGGCCAGGTGGTTGATTTATGCGTCGACATTGTTCACCGTGGCATTTCTCATCCTGCTGAAAGTGTTCATGTATTACTCTCACATCAGTAATGTTTTGCAGTGTGCCAATGTTTTGTTCGAAACATGGCCAAAGTTGGGCCGCGTATGTAACTAAATTACTTTTAATAAATGGGCCAAGGCCCTTGTCATGACTCTCAGAAAACATGGACCTTTCCTGGGCCCAGACCCCAGGCCCCAGGCTAAGGAACTATTACCTCGTGGATATGAACCACCACGATTGACATCATCTCGGGATCGTAAGGCAATCGATTGCCGGTATTATTTCACTCGACTGAAATCCAGGAAATGTGTTAAAATAACCCACTAATCCATGATAGTCCACATATACTCCCTCCTAACCTAGGTTAGCTTCACCAAATCTCTTCACTTTTTCTAGTCTCCGCCCCCTCCCTACAGGGACAATACATGCAAGACCTATCTGGATGCGGTGGTATTCACCTCAGTCCATGTGTGTTGAAGTGAATTGGGTGCAAATGAAATTAAGTTTCACTCTAATACACCTGAATTAAGTTCGATGCAAGTGCATCCAAACAGACCAAGCTGGCAAGACAATGTTGTGTGATGCCTCCGGCTTCTCCATGACCCCTAGGTGACAGCTAGCAGTGCTTCTCCATTTGGTTTGGGCTTGTCAGGTTAGGTGACAAGATTGAGCCTCCGCCATGCCATGCGTAAGCCCTCAGATTAGCTCTTGGACTGGCACAATAAGAACCAGTTCCTTATGCTAGTCTTAGTGTGAGTTTCATCCGAATTTAATAAGCTATCACATAGGTGTTTTTATGACATGACAGTGTTTTTAAGAAAAGAAAGAAAAAATACTCTTGACACGATTACCAACTCTAGATGAGTCCAGAAATTAAATGTCCATGACACTCTAAAATGAAACTATGCATTGAGAATAAATGTTTCATACATGTTTTATTTTATTTTATATCATGTTGCAGTCTTGTAAATAACGTTATAAAACTCTCCATTGAAAATGGTCTTACCCAAACCATGATACAGGCCCGATATTGTGAGGACATGCATGATTAGCCCAACTATTTATCCATCTCTAGCACTCCTTTTTTCCTCGGTTTCCAAAAAAAAACCAAAAGGGCCCTGTTTTCATGCTAGGATTACTACTACATAGATTGTTTTCACATTTTAGGAGTGATTCATATAATAAACCAGCTCTAGAAATTTTATATTGCATCGTAGCTTTTGAATCGCACCTAAAGATCAATTTCGAATGGCAGTGGACTTCATAAAACCGATTGTGGAAATCTAGACATTTTCATGTGTGCTTTGCATAATACAACTACACATCGAAATCATATTTTTAAGGGCGTTCTTATGCTAACTGCCCCTAAAATGGGTAGATTTCTAGTTGTAATCGACTATAAATCAATTTTTTGGGGCGGTTAAGTGATGAGCAAATAAATTCATTATTTTTTTGAATGAAGAACAAATTTATATAAAAAGTGTAGATCTTGATTTGACATAAAACTTTGTAGTTGACTGGTTTTTTATTTGAGATCATTTAGGGGCCTAAATATATACATTTTAAGTTCTCAGATTTTAATATTCATGAATTTCAACCGACATCGAATGGAGACACTCCCTATAAAGTTGTAGTTCTTGACAAGATCTAAAATTTCTTGTGTGTTAATAAGAGGGGCTCATGCGAGCCAAGTGTACATGGTTCCATTTCTCATGGACCCCCTTATGCGAAAAAATAGGAGACTTAAGACTAGCGACACCCTTGCGGTACCCTAGGGCACGCAATTTTTTCTTATAATTTTCTAGCGTGGTTTAATAGTTTTTGTGATTTTTTAATTATATTTCTAAAAACTTAGTGGAACCATTTCTAAGAATTGATTTCCAGATGCAGTTGCAAAACTGTTCCAAAAAATGCCTCGTTTCTACATTCGATAGTGTACTAGTGGTTTTAAAAACCACTACTAAAAAATTAATTTTGTATATGTCTAAAAATCATTTGTATGGTAGTGGACCGCAATAGTTCCCATGCTCTTGTTTTTTGAACTTTATAAACCCGTACGAAGAAGCAATACACATTTTATTAATAGTTGAGATCTCTTTGGTATCAACCAGGATAGCCATAATCTCATAGTCCTAAGCACAATTGATTCGCAGAGTTGTTCTATTTTACTCGACTGGAATCTAGGAATTGTGGAAAATGTGTGGAATGAGGTATCACTAAGGTTAAAAAAAAAACCAAACTACATTCCACTATTTCTTTGAAAGTGAGTCCCTCGGGTAATTTTACATTCATTCTCATTAGTACATATTCGGTTTTCTGTTTTAGTCTTTCCAAATCCAATTCATATATTTGTTTTCAATAGTACACATTCAGCTTGAAAACTTGCTCTTACTCTCGGTGGACGAAGTAGAACTTTCTTTACTAAAGTACTTTAGAAAGCTTTAAAAAATTGGCTAGCTGGATTGATTATCCCTTGTTGGGACTGGAGAGACTTGTGGAATTGGAGGGGCACTAGGTCCAATTGAATATGTTGCTGATAGCAGAAAAGGAGCTACAGCTAAGGATGGAATCAAATACGGATAGCACTATTTACCACATTTTAATTCGAATTCTGATACAAATACGGATTTTATCGGATACGAATACAAAATGAATGTCTCGAATTCGGATACGCATTCCGATATCTATTAGATTTTGACGATAACATATATCTATTTGTCAGTCGATAGTTTTAGTAGAACAAAATTATTGTGTATGTAGAGAATATAATTATATAACCACCGTAGATAACGACAACTCATAAAATAACATATATAATTATTTTAATAATTAAATATATTAAAAACCAATAAAACTAAATAATATTTATAAATAAATATTTTAAAATATTAAAAACAATTTCATCAATATGTGAATAATTAAAATACTTAAAATTAATATGATTAGCTATTGTAAAAACAAAACCTTTATATATCATTAATAATAAAAAAAATATAATGGTATTGGCCACATAATAGATAAGTTTTAAATAGTTTAAATGATACATATCATTTGTTTATTCCATCCATTCTAAATTATAAGTCGCTTTGACTTTTTTTGTACATCCAATTTGCTACACATCTAGATATAATAATATGTATAGATACATAGCAAAATGAAACAAAAAAAAGTCAAAGCGACTTATAATTTGGAACGAAGGAGTATTAAATTTGATATTATTTATATTACTAATTAGTCATAGATATGAGCTTAGATGGTTTTATAGGTAATTTGTTATTTGCGGATACGGATAGTGTCGAATGTTTCATATTTTTTTGAATATGAATGTGGAATCGGATAGAGAGAAATCATAGAAAACGAATATGGATACATCACTTAACATCCATATTAAAATTGGATACGAATACGGATATCCATATTGACTCTAAAACGAATACATACAGATATCGGATGTTTCGGACATTTTAACATCCGGATCCATCCTTAGCTACAGCAGAGTTACAGAACCAAAGTAGCAAAGCAAATATCCAACACACCAAGTTTTTTTTAAAATTTATTCCTCATTCTACGGTAGTATGCATGCACATGCACACGTTAGTTAGACCTCCGTTGGCTTTTCCGGTCATGCATTATCTACCACACACAGCTCACTAATCATCTCCTCAACCTCCTTCCATGACGACCCACCATCGGACACAGCTAGCTGAGCCTGTGCTGCTATCTCTGTCACTCTCAGTGCCATCGCCGTTCCCGCCTCCCCAAACATCAGCTCCTTGACCGCCCTCGTGATCTCCTCGCTCTTAACAAAACCTCCAATCACTCCATCGCTGACATGGACCCTAACGCCGATCCGCAGCTCATCGACGACAAACTTTGCGTTGATCGGCTGTTCAAACTCGCACGGCCATGCTACCAAAGGGACACCAGCGGCGATACTCTCCAGCACTGAGTTCCACCCACAGTGGCTTAGAAATCCTCGAACGTATGGGTGCCGGAGGATCTGCCGTTGATCCACCCATTCTCTCACCACCTTGCCTCGTCCAACAACACGCTCCTCGTACCCCATGCCAAGATCGGCATTGTCAGGGCGTACTGCCCACAGGAAGTTCACCCCGGCCCGGTCTAGCCCGTCGGCCACCTCTTTCAGCTGCGCCTGTGAGATGGCCGCCAGTGTCCCCAGTGAGATGTACAGTACAGACTTTCCGGCGGCCGCCATGTCGTCCAGCCACTGCATCCAGGAGGGCTTGGTGTGGAGTTGTTGACTGCCGGTGTCGAAGAAGGAGGAGGAGGAGGAGGACTGCTGGGCCAGCCATAGCGGGCCGATAGCCCAGACCTTAGGCCCGATGTGCTGGTTCCAATGCTCTATGTAGCGGCCCTCCAGGTCATGGAAGGTGTTGATGACGAGGCCGCGGCTCGCCGCGACGGCCGCCGCCATCTTAGCATCCAGGTCTATCATCGGGAGCGGCGGCGGCACGAGGTCGCGGAGCGAGAACTGGAGGTGAGGGAACTCCGGCACCGTATAGTACGTGGTGGTAGCGGCAGTGGTTGCGTCGTCGAACTGCGGCGAGGAGGCAGGGGCTCCCGGCTTGTCCCGCACGCACGCCTCCCGGACGACGTGCGCGAACGCGGACGTGCCCAGGAACGACACGCTCGGGACGCCGAGCGCGGCGGCCGACGCGTGCGCCCAGTACAGGAACCCGTCGGCGACAAGGAGGCTCGCGGGCGGGCGCAGCGCCGCGAGCTCCTCCTCGAACCGCGGCCGCAGAGCCGACGTGGCCTCCGCGAACGCGGCGAAGGACGACGCCGACGCGACGCCCTCGGCGGCCTCCCCGCCCGCGGGCGCGTGGCCGCCGGCCTGGTACGCGAGCTCGAGGACAGCCGCGTCGTCGCCGGCCCCGCCTCGCCGCAGAGCGGCGCGGACGAAGGCGGCGTTGCCCGGGGTTGTGACGAAGGTGACGGCGGCGAGCCCCGGCCGCGCAGGAGGCAGGCGAGGTCCAGCAGCGGCATCGTGTGGCCTTTCGCCATGAGCGGGAAGATGGCTACGTGAAGCCCGTGGAAGGCTTGGCATGAAACAGGAGGTGTAGCCATGGCCGTTGTTGCTTCTCTTGGCCTGCTTCTTGGGCTTGTGTTTGGGTGGTTGTGAGCGTCCCCGAGCTTGCTACTCCTACTCCTAGACAGCAACTGATCATTCGCCTTGCAATATACTCCACGAGGACGAGGTCACAAGCTGTACAGTAGTACTAGTAATTAATTAAGACAATGGTCCTCGGACCTCCTCTCCATAATTAATCCTTTAATCTATTCTTGATTATCGGCATTAATTGATCACCTAACAGGAAGAAAATTCTAAATCGTATGAGACGTTGCCACGCTTGAGTCTGGCGTGCGGCACCACCCTCGAATCACTGTTCATTCCCTGAGATCATAGGTAGCTGTGCCTGCACGCCAGACGGAAATTGTCCAACTGCCCAGTAGGTGCCGGACGTTTTCCCAGGTCACATCGTCGGGTAAGAAGTAGGATGCAGATTCCAGGTCACTTTGAGACCTTAATTTCCTCCCCGCCACCACAATAGTACTCATAGGGGGGCAGCTAGAAGCACTCTTCCCTTGCATATAAAGGCCACAAATTAACCGCCTGTCGATGAAATCGACACCTGCAACGACGATCTCGTCGCGGCAATCACCAAAGTCATCGCAGGACACACATCGTGACCCAAAAGCATATGATTTTGCCGTAAAATTATTTGGACTCACCATAAGACACTGGAAAAACAGTGGAAAAAAGCACTACTACAGAATGTTACTGTAGGGGCGGCTCTAGAGCCTCTGTAGGGGCGGCTACGCCAGCCGCTCTTCCCAGGGTGTTCTTACATAGGTGCCTCTATAGGGGCGGTTTCGACCGCCTGCGAATTAGGTTCTTGACTGTGGGCCGGCTGGTGTTTTCAGCCGCCCTTCAGATTGTCTTCTCTGAGGGTGGCGGCCTGGTGTTTTCAGCCGCCCCTACAATGGACTTATGTAAGGGCGGCTGTATCACCAGCCGCCCCTGTTGTGTGTATTTGTAAGGGCGCTTCAATCAAGAACCGCCCCTACAGTGAATTTTTTAGCAAAAAAAATAATTCAAATTTAAATCTGACCACATATATATATATAATTCAAATTCGAATCTAACCGCCACAAATATACATATATACATCCACAAACACAAGACCATTATTTAGAACATCATCACAAGTCATAATTCACAAAAGTATCAACTATAGCGCTAGTCGTATGTCACAGTTTCACAAGTGTGACGTGCATATACAAATTACACGCATCAATTGGTTGATCAATGCAATCATACAATGGCAGTGTTGAGGAACTCTTTCCAACAAAATAGATGAAAACTTTCGACATATTAAACGAAAGATCCAATAAACACTTCAGACACCGATTAGCACAATGGTTTACCACATAAATTTTTAGATCCAGACTCCTGTGAGGAAACAAGTTCAGAACTTCAAAATACTAAAGTACAATCAAGTACATAAGCCAACATAGCAGATAACTTTGTCTCGGGTACAAATCACAAGCCAGAGAGTCCACCGGGCATGTTAAGTAGATCCATTAGAAACATTGCCGTAGGGTTCTCTATCTTCTCCTCGAACCAACACTTGAGCTCACAGCAAGTCACAAGCACAGGCAAACGATACAGATAGAGTCAAGGGATAAAAGGCTTTACCTGTCGGATACACAATGCCACGGGTTCCTTTTACAAGACGCGTCTAGGGGAAGGTGAACTGCTGCTTCGACTGTCACTAGAGATGCTTCTTCCTCTAGGAGGCCTGCAAGCAAGAGATATTTTCAGTTATGGAATACTCTTGGCATATGCAAAAACACCAGAAAAAACTATCATTACAAAACAAATACATATGTTACCTTCTAGGGCTGCGGCTCCTTGATACCCTTCTTGGACCCTATACAAGAAACACATTAAAGCACTTAGTCAATATTACCATGCATGCATGACCAGTAACAGAGGGGGGGAAACAGCATTACTTTGTGTTTGATACTACAAATACCATATCAGTTGTAGCACTCACCTTTCTTGGCGGTGGAGTAGGTGATCGAGAATATGATGAGTCTGACCTACCACGCCTCAACGGAGGCCCTCGTCCCCTGCGTTATACAAGAGAATCAGAATTGTCAGGGTGCAAAAGAGGAACAGCATCAGCTGGTAGATTTCGACAGATCCACTACCTTCTTGGAGAAATTGATCAGGAGTGGGAGCGAAGGGGTCGGCGAGGAGGAGAGCGACGTGGAGGTGGTGGCCTTCTTGGTGGGCTCCTCAACCGCCTTGGAGGTGGCGAGCTAGAGGGGGGAAAAGAAGGAATGAGCACAGCAGTTAAGCAAGCATAATAAGGCAGAGGACTAAAAAAGTCAACAAAACTTTAATACGAACCTAAGACATGAAAAATAAAAGGGGCAAAACAAGTATCCAAATACTAGAAGTGTAATGAGTACAAATCTTAGAAACCAATCATAGGATCATGCGTAGAACAGCAATTAATTATAAACATGGAATACATATATCTAATCCACTTGTATTATCTAAAAAAGGTACATCTAATCCACAGCTATGAAATATAAAATAGAGAATACTTGATACATTTAGCAGGGATAGGCACGTGTAGTCCACAGCTATGGAATATAAAATCATCATGAGTTGAACAATTAAATCATCATGAGCTAAACAATTAAATCATCATGAGCTGAACATGCACCTACAGGGGGGGAGTTCTTTGATACGAGCAGAAGTAACAAGCGAAGAAAAAGGAATAGTGATTATATAGTTTCAAAGCTTCAGAAGCTTACATTCCCTAGGATGCTGCTGGGCATCCTTTTCAGCACTGCTAACACCTTTTTCAATCTGGGGAGCGTCTCTTTTTGGAGGAGGGGGCGGAGCTTTCATAGGTGATGCAGCCCTTTGGCGTGGTTGAAGAGTGAATCTCAACTTAACAACATTTCCGTCAATTTGACCCTGGACAGATTTTTAGAAGAACTTGTTGGTCATTTACTTTTCAACAAAAAAAGACAGAATAAGCATAGGGTAGAATGCATACACCATCCATGTAAAGAAAAGCCTTCTGAGCATCATCTCTCTTCTTGAATTCAATATATCCATAGCCACGAGGAAGGTTAACCTAAAAAAACAAATAGTAGGTGTTAAGGAGAGCACAAGGCATAGATCCCAGAATAAGAGAATAAGAGAGCAACACATTCACTTACCATTCGGTCCATTGATAGCTCCACATTCACAACTTCGCCAAAGTTTCCTGAAAATACAGATAATTACTCGAATATAGTGTTTGGATTCATTTGGCAACATGACGACTTTTCAAAAGCACTTGTTTATTTTTAATTTGTATGTAAGAGTTTGTTAAATGCACATTATGTCTGGAACAACAGTAAAATCCTACTAGAATCAGCAAGCCAGTTGGCCGATTACTATAGAAAGAGGATCATCCCCACTTGAAGGGTCGAGATGGCGGACTAGAGGGGGGGGTTGAATAGTCTTTTCTAAAATTAATCGCGTCGGCTAACCGATATAAATGCGGAATTAAAACAATCGGTCTAGCCAAGACTACACCCCTCTATATATGTTCACTAGCACCTTGTAAAGATACTAATAAAGCAACTAAGGTGCCGGGCTAGCTAGAGCTCTCCTAAACAATTTTAGGAGCAAGGTCACACAAACCTATGCCACTAGTACTTTAAGTAACAAGGGAGCTCCTACACATGCTAGTAAGCAAAAGCACAAAGCTAACTAAGCTCACTAGCAATGCTCAATAACAAGGCAACCAATGCCTAATTAGAGAGCGCAAATACTTAGCTACACAAACTAAGCAATGTGACTAACAAGGTTACTAAAACCAAATTAGCCACGCAAGGGAGCTACTTCTATGCTACACAAGCAAGAAGGTAATTAGCTAGCTACACAAGCTGATGAATACAGGCCTGATCTTTCGAGAGGTAGCCGGTAAGTTCGATTTGTGGAGATCTCGACGTTGGCGATCCGACTTCAAATCAGACACGATTCGAACCCTGCAACCGTTACACCACCGCTCCGTTGGTTATCAACCAAGCACAACTTGATTGACCTCGCCAAGAAGGCTTTTCCTGCAAGCGAATCGAAGAGCACAAGCAAGAAGGTAAAACACGCAATCTGAAATTGCAAATATGAATGACGCGAATATCAATAGAGGGTTCAAGAACTCGGTTCCAAAGGACTAATCGACACGATGGAGGAGATCAAGAATGGGGCCCCGGATCACCGTAAAAAGGATTTGTCACCACGGTTACAATGAACGATTCAGTTTCTCGATGGAAAACTAAACTCTAAACAAAACCCAATTGTGTAGCAGCGGTGGCGGCTGTGTTTATAGTCTAAGACTCGACCTAGGGTTGGGGACGGCCAGGGGTTGGCGCCCACAACTTGGGCTTAAGGCCTGACACGATACATATGCCAAGTTGGCCCAAATAGGTGACGCAGCACCTTGTCGTGGTCACATAGAATGATCCACGGACCTTCTGGAGCTGGGACCAGATCCAAAACGACGGCGTCGTCGTCCCTTTCCAACGCATCCAAGAACGGCCCGTTTCGGCGTCGTATGAGGAAGTTATGACCGAAACAAAGGACGACGTGTCTCGCTGAATCCGAGGGTGACGTGGCGGCTGAGTTGGGAACGAATTGCAACTTGGGGAAGACCATGGCGTCGGTGTGTCCAGCGTGGCGGCGATGTCCTCATCATCCTCCCTTCTCGAATTGGAGTCGTCCTCGACTCCATCTTGGCGATGTCCTCATCATCCCTCCTTGTAGAATTGGAGTCGTCCTCGACTCCATCCCATCATCGTGAACTCCCGCAAAAGATTAGTGACAGCAGCAATGCACCGATACATAAAAGGTTGACAAAATATAGTATAACATGGTGCATCAGATTATCACATAACTCAAAGCGATAGCAGGAGTTGTAGCAAGAAAAACACCTCCTTTTAACTTAATCCCATTATTTTTAGCAATGTCATTTGGAGGTTTATTTTGATCTCATTAGCATGTTTAATAATATCCGTAGGAGACAACGGCAACAATGTAATTTCCTTGTCCTTATGTATGATAGTGTATGTATTAGTTCTACCATGGTGTAAAGCATCATTATCAAATTCCCATGGGCGACCTAACAAAATGGAACAAGCTTGCATAGGGACAACATCAAAATCAGCGATATCATGATAAGAGCACATGAAAAAAGCTAATGCGTGCTGATTTAGTTACCTTAGTCTTACCACTATTATTGAACCATTGAAGTTTATATGGATACGAATGTTGTCGTGTGGTCAAGCCAAGCTTGTCAATCAAATCTGAACTCACCAAATTGTTGCAACTCCCGCCATCAATGATAGTGAGAACACGACAACCCTGCACAATGAGATACATGTGGAACAAATTGTGGCGTTGGATCTTCATCTCTTTTCATGTCCCACACGTGTACTCAACACACGCCGCACAAGAAGGCTAGGGTAGTCCGCGGCAACAGCACACGAGTCAATGGTGATGGTCTCCTTGTCTTGATCGCTCTCGGTGGGATCTGCATCAATGTTAGCAGACAAGGGCTAAATCATCTTCAACATCACTAGCACTTACATATCCATCCTTGGTAGCAATGAAAGCGCGACGACTGGGGCAATCCTTCATGACATGTCCCATGCCTTTGCATCGGTGGCAAATGATTTTAGAGCCGGACGAGGAGGAGCTAGTAGAAGCACCCGAGTTCCACCTTTCTTCAAATTGGAAACTGCACATTAGACAATTCGTACCTCGGAAGAAAATGGAGGTGTAGATGGCTGTGGTGCAACAGGAAGCTTAGGCGTCTCCGGCTCGAACGCTGCTGAAAATTCCTCCCATTGTTAGACCTGAAAGGCTGGTGTTGTTTATGTCCTGTACTTCTCGTTCGCCTTAATAGCAAGATGATACAATTAGGAAAAATTAAGCCATTCTTTGTAATCAAGTATGTTCTCAGAGTATCATGGTTTAAACCACCAAAAAATCTAGCACTAGCATCATCATCATCTTCATTTATACCACAACGTGCTAAACCAATAATCAATTCTTGATAGTATGCTTCCACTCCTTTATCACCTTGTTTTAAAGTTTGTAGTTTTAAACGTAAATCACGTTGGTAATAAGGAGGAACAAAACGAGATTTCATACGTTGCTTTAAAACATTCCAAGTTTGAGGCACAATGAAGATTATTAGCATTGCAAAGATCACTCCACCGAACAAAGCAAAATTAGTAAACTCACTAGTAGCAAGTCTAACTCTATGCTCGGGAGGAACATTATGAGAATCAAATTTTTGTTGAACAACAAGCTCTCAATCTAAATATGCCTCTGGATCAACATTACCAAAAAAAAAGGAGGTAGACTAAATTTAATTTTAGCAAAAGGATCATTATTACCATGATTATTACCTCCCATGCCATGACGATTGAAGTTGAGGCGGCGACGGCACCAACACCGAGCTCATCGCATCTTCATCACCAAAAGCATCCGCATCTTCATCATCAAGGGATAAAAGGCTTTACTCAATCTGATCAATGCGGGTGACCAGATTACAAGACGCGTCTAGGGAAGGTGAACTGCGATTGCGTTGTTCACTATGAACGTTGCAAGCTCCTGCCTTGACACGCGCACTCATTGAAGTCCGTCGGAGTTCATATGGTTAGAAGATAGAAAAAACTACAACACAAAAGTATTATCCCTATTAACTAAAAGGAAACAAGTGGTGGTGGTGGTGAAAGTGGAATGCAAAATCACAAGCGGCATTACCGCACTTAGTCAATATTCTTACCAACGCATGCACAGACCAAAACCAAGTGGTGGCAGCAATACTTTGTGTGGAGCGTGGAGTATCAGTTGTAAGATGAACTTTCTTGGCGGTGGAGTAGGTGAAGAATATGTGGAGCTATGGGTAGGCACACAATATGACAAAGCAAGGATTAGCAATTAACGAGTACAAGAGAAGCGATTGTTCAATCTGGATCCAAAGTACAAGTCACAGTGTTGGCTAAGACATGTCGAGAAATTGCGCAACAAGGTGAAAACAAAGGACGATCGAAAGAACTCGTGGAGAACAAGGCAAATAGCCCGGATTTCTCAACCTGAATTTTTTCCCGATTTTTCCAAAAGGCACAAACTTTTTTTTATTTTTCACTAATTTTTATACTTTTCTCTGAACAAGGATCACAAAAGATGCAACCACAAAAATCGGCACCTACAAGACATGAGGTGGGATGTGGTCTAAAAATTCAACACGTTCTCTGTAAAGCGTGCAAAAACTTTGACAATTTTTTTAGGATTTTCCTGAATTTTTTGGCAATTTTGATTAAACCAAACAGGGAAAGCAGTTTGGGTCGGCCCCAAATGTATGTCAAGAAGCTGCTGAAAAATTTCAGATTTTTCGGATAAACGAGAAAAGTTATACATTTAGCAGAAGGTATCTCAAGGTATGTTTTCCGGAGGCAAACATCATGAGTTGAACAATTAAAGCGTCCCTAAACTCTAACAATCATCATGAGCTGAATCGCACCTGTGGGGGGGAGTAACATAAGAGCAGAAGTATTACAAGCGATGATGTAAGGAGGGGTGATTATATAGTTTCAAAATAAGAGCGGTATTCCCAATCTGCTCTAGGGTTTCCTTTTCAAGTGAAGTGACACAAAGGCGGCAAGCGGGGCAAGTCGAGTAATGTGGTGGCTTCGACTTGTTGTTTGAAACAGTGGATGGGATAGCGGTTGAAAACAAAATCACAACTTAACAACATTTTGAACTTTGACCAAGAACACAATTCTAAACCAGCAACAAGACTCGACCACGGACATAAACTCAACAACACGAATCAAAAGGAAATTGCAAAGGCACAAAGGGCGATAGGATCAGCGGAAATTGAAATATTTTTATATCTTTTTGTGGACTCTAGGTAATGAACAAATATGAATCTAAGGCAAAGGAGATTATACCTCGCGATAAACCTAAGAAATATCTCGATACCAATTGATGAATACAGCCCCGATCTTCCGAGAGGTAGCCAAAGTTTCGATTTGTGGAGATCTCGACGTTAGCGATCCGGCTTCAAATCGCACACGATTCGAACCCTACAACCGTTACACCACCGCTCCGTTGGTTTATCAACCAAGCACAACTTGATTGACCTCGCCAAGAAGGCTTTTAAATGCACATCGAA